ATAGTCTGACAGTAATGGGAGAGATGCACTTAGATGTGAATTCAGTGCAGCTATAAATAAGGAAAGGGCTGAATGGCCTTCTGATAGTCTTCTTACATATTTGATTCAATTATCAAAGATACACTTTGATTTTTTTTTTTTTTAAGGTAGAGTCAGGCTAGCCTCGAAGTTACTATGTAACCACCAAGGATGATCTTGAACTATTGAACCACACCTGGCATGGATATAATCTTTAAAGGTCTCTTCCAAACATAAGATTCTGGAGGACTAAAATTAAATAGACTATTTCATTAGGACTAGAGTGGAGGTCACTGGAGCGATACAACAAATATATAAACCTATTGATGATCCTGGTTTTTATTGTACTGATATTATACCAGAAAAGAGGGCTGCAGAGCTGAATTGGTCAACCGACCAGTATTTATGAAACAATATTTACACATTGTGCTCAGAAGAGTTGGACGTTATAAAGAATTAAAGAAGTTGGCAGAACAATGAAAGGTTGTATACTTCCTTTGTTTAACAGAGTGTGTGTCCCCCACCCCCAGCACATAGGAAATTAATACAGTACACGTTGCTGGGCACTCACCTCAGGGCCCTTTCAGTGTGGGAAGGAATTCTTGAGTTGAGGTACAAGAAGTTGTCTTGGCAGCTCCTGCAGTGTCAGGTACCCATGTCTCTACAGCTCTAGATAAGATAATCTTACTCATGTCTTGGGCTTTAGAGATGCTTGTCCAAATGATGGCTTTTTCAGCAGCCGTACCAGTTAGAGGCCAATGTGTGAGCAACTTGAGTGCAGATTTATTGTCTTCCTTAGTGTTTATTTCCTTTTCACAACCTGCCTTAGAAAAGTATCTTGGTAACAGGTATCTTGGTATACATGACCAAGTAAGTTACTCTTGAAATGTTAGTGTCCCAAGAGAAATTTTTTGGCAAGAATGAAAAATAAGTTCAGTATCAAAAAGCATAATAACAAGAGATTTGGTACAAGAAGATATTAGCAATAGTAACTAATAATAAAGCAATTTTGACAATGTTCTGTAATAAAATTGTCGGTACCACTATTCACATGTTTTGGGGCCTTTATTAAATATTTAAATAAGGGTTGCTTAAACAAGCTGTTTGCCATGCCCAGCAGTAGATGTGTAGGTAGACTATGTAGTGGGGCTAAACGATAGATGAAGGGATCATCCATGTCCAGGACACAGCAGAAAGGATGGGAGTTCATCACACTACTCAGAGTGGACCACAGATTAAAATTTAGCAAGTGTTTATTCTGGAACTCCCCATTAATGTTTTGACTGGAATTACTGAAAATGAAACCAAAGACAAGGGGATGCTTCAGTACAGGCTCCACATACTACAGAGTACAGGCTCCACTGGCTACAAAGTACAGGCCCTGCAGGCTACAGAGTACAGGCTCTGCGTGCTACAGAGTATAGGCTCCACAGGCTACAGTGTACAGGCTCCTACAGTGTACAGGCTCCGTGTGCTACAACAGGCTCCTCCTGCTACAGTTCAGGCTCCGCGTGTTACAGTATAGGCTCCGTTTGCTACAATACCGGCTTTGTGGCAACCTGGGCAAGTTACTTATCCTCTCAGCCTTGGTTTTTTTCATTTGAATAATAAGTCATTGAACATATCTCAGAGGAGTTTTGAAAGGACTCAGTAAATTGATAATATGTACAATGGTAAGGGTGATGCCTGGCACATGGCAAATGTTTGTTGCTATTATGATTGCTATTGTTACCTAAAGCCTGGGATAACTTAACTAAAGTCTACAGCCTTGGATTTCATCTCAGTTTTTCCATCAACCTGCTGTGGGACTGTAGATTAGTCCTGGACTTTTTGTTTTTTTTCTTTTGCATGCGTTTATTATGAAAGTATACATTTAGAATAGATTATTATAGGTATCACCGTGGTTTCTAAAGGTTAAGCTGGTATAAATGTCAGTGTTTCCTTAGTAAGAATAATATTAAAACTCTTGTAAATAAAAGAATGGAATAAGGTATCTGGATATGAAAATGAATTACAAGCACTATTAACCTTATTATATTCAAACAGCAGTTGGAAGAATTGAATGCCTGGGGATATAACAACTCCCCAGTAAGACCCATCTCTGGAATAGAATTTGCTCATTGATGTGCTGTCATCTAAAACATCGTGGAAACAGCACTGAGCAAACATCCTCAAGGAATTCTTGGGCTAATAGGAAAGCAGATGAGTAAGCCACTGCAGGACCCTATAGAAAGTCACAAGTAGAAGAAAATATACTGAAGAGTGAAACTATTTCTGCTGTATTTCAGATTTTTTTCATTTTCTGTTTTTATTGCCTTCAGCTCTGTTAGAACAAGGCAATAAACTGCGTAATGCCATGGTGATTTCTGCAATGAACTCGAGCCCGGATACTAACATGTTGCTGAACAAAGTTTATGCTCCTATAAAGGAAGACTTTTTTAGATCATCACAGTAAGTTACAGGGTGTACCCAAACTCCAACAGCTCATTTCTTAAATTGTTAACTTGTGTTTTTGTTGTTATGAACCAGATAATCTTGGAAATGTTCAGCAGAGCATTCTAGTGTGGCGGAGAAGAAGCCTAGGGTAGGCGTGAAGACGCTCAGCATCCAGTTCTGGCACTGGTGTTTGCTAGATATATAAATGGAAAACCTTTGCTATCTAAACTGAAGTGCTGATGCATAAAGTGGGGACATTTTCTCCCTCCTTACTAAAATGAAATAGGAGTCTGATGTTGGGCAGAACTTTATAAAGTTTAGTTTCATATATATTTAAAGTTGTTAAGCCTAAAAATGTTAAATTTTCTGAGTCAGACCAGTCCCTTTTACTCCTTCTTAGCTCAGTTAGGATTTAAATTTTTCCCCTCTGTTAACCATTCATGACAGTATTTTTCCACACCTTAGAATCAGGTCCTCATCTAAGAATCAATTTAAAGACCACAGTGAAGATCACTTCCTCCCTTTGACTGAGAATACATTTTGTAAACTTGACACAAAAGCTGATATGAGAGCTATACAGCTACTATTAGGCAGGTAAGTGCTCTTACCTAGCTTTCTTCCTTTTTAAAACTTCTTTCAGTTCATTGACTACATTGTCAACAATACTTGCTCATACAAACTCTTTCCCCATTGAATAAAGGCCAGTGTATAGCCTTTTATTTTTGACTTGTAAAATGCCTCAACCCACTTTTCTGTTCTCATCCCCCAACTCTTCCAACCATCATTCTTAGTATGGTGTGATGAAGAAAGTATGAATTCTAACTAGACTCAAGTTGAAATTTGGTGTCTACTGCTCATTAGCATTGTGGCCTTAAGCAGATTTCTCAACTGTAGAGGCACCAACAGAATTGGAATTATACCTAACTTTGCAAAATTGTGAGGATGAGAAATGATGTATATAAAGAAGTTAATGCTTGAGACTGGAGAGGTGGCTCAGCAGTTAAGAGCACTGTCTGCTCTTTCACAGACCTTGGGTTCAGTTTCCAGCACCCACAGGGTGACTAACAACCATTCATAACTCCAGTTCCAGGGGATCAACACCCTTCACCCTTTTCTGGTCTCCATAGGCACATGCATGCAGGTAAAACACTCATACATATAAAATAAAAATAAATAAATTAAAATAGTAAAAACTTCCTCCTCCACCACCACCACTACAGGGTGACTAACAACCATTCATAACTCCAGTTCCAGGGGATCCGACGCCCTCGTCTGGACTCTGCGGGCATTGCTAAAACTAATACATGCTAAGTTATTCAGATATGAGAAAACCTGTTCTTAAGAATCTCCACATTATTGCTTTATTGCTTTGTTTTTTCTTTTTTGTTTTTGTATTTTTTGAGGCTGGGTCTCATACAACCCAGGCAGCTTCAAACTCCTACCTAGCTGAGGATGGCCTTGAATTCTTGATCCTCTTATCTCTACCTCCCAAGTGCTTAGATTAAGGGCATATGCTAGGATGCCACACTTTTCCACTTACTTTAATTTGACTAAACATTAGGCTTCTTGCAGGAAAGTGGCAAGACTGTGTAATCATTTGGTATGCTAATGAAGGACTTCGAATATCTGTTAAAGAGCTTGAACTTCATACTAAAAATTGGATAGGTACCAAAATATTTTGAACAGAGAGTAGAAAAATCAGTCTGGCAACACTATGAAAAATCAACTGAATAAGACATGGGAAAGCTTGTGTATTTGTTTCTCACCTAGTGGAGGTGTAGAAATAAGAAATTGAACTTAAAATGGCAGGATTTTGTGATATTAGTTGTAGAAAAAAAGGCAGAGTAAAAAATGACCCCTCGTATTTTTGCTCTAGGGACCAAAATCTAAATCCTCTCAAATGGAAGGCAAGGATGATAAGTTTGAAGATCATAAGCTCATATTTAAGCCTGTTAATCTGCTCCTGAGTTGCCTATGGAGCATTTAATGTAGTCGTTCAGTAAACACTTGGGCTTCAGAGCTGAGGCTCAGTAGAGAGAGGATAAAAATTAGGTATTTGTTAGCTATGCTGCAGGATCTGAAACTTTTAGACAGAATCACCCAGGGCATGAACAGCAGAATGAGAAGAGTAGACATACTTTTATAACCACTTATTTTTTTTTAAAGTTTTAATTACAAATTATTCCCCTGTTGATTTTTTTATGTATATTTTTAAGTTATTATTTTTATTTTATATGAGTGTATTGCCTGCATGTATGTGAATGCACCCATGTCGTGCAATGCCACGGAGGTCAGAAGAGGGCTTCAGATTCCCCTGGAACTGGAGTTAAGGACGGTATAACCACCTATTTTTAAACCTCAATATGATGGCAGTAAAGAAACAGGAAAGGCATAAAAATCTTAAAAACTAAAAAGGAGATGAGGCCAATGAAATGTCAGGAAAAGTTAGAAAGCAAAAGGACAAGAGCACCTGACCTAGCCACCAGAGAGCTGTGCCTAAAGTCAGACTGACTATATTTGCATTCTACCACCCACCAGTGATAAAGCCTTATATAAGATATGACTGTCTCCTCTTTTCTTTCCTCAGCAACTTCAGTGATAGGTTGTACAAATTCAATGAGTCAGTTCCTATAAACTTCTAAGAGTATTGCTTGGCATAGAGTAACTAATCTCTTGGTAAATGCTGGGTATCATTAGTGTAATACTGCTACCTCTAGAGCTAAGAGACTGGCATTCTCCTGCCCATTGAAAGATTAGAAACCTAAGGTTTGCTTAACAAAATTATCCAGCTCTGTCCAATTATGTTGTGATACAGCCACCAGTTGTCAAGTTCCTTCTGACTCTCAGCCTGCATATTGAGTTTCTAGTCAGCATTTTAGGTCCTGGCTTTGAACACATGAAGAATGCCTTCAGTGTATACGCAGAAAACAAGATTTGGTAAAACATTTAGAAGAGAAAGATTAGGAAAAGTCCAAGAAAATTTACCCAAAAAAAATGGAATTGGAAAAATAAGAAAGTAAAGTTAAAATTAGGGGTATTTTCAGTAGATTCAACATGCAGCTAACTGGAATTCCAGGAAATAAGGGGCTGGAAACATGGCTCAACAGGGAAAGGTGCTTGCTTCCAAGCCTGACAACCTGTGTTTAATCCCCTATACCTCCACAGGTTGCCTTCTGACCTCCACATGTGTTCTCTAGTATGGGTAAACCCATGCGTACATGCACACAGGTACACACACATAAAAATAAATGTAATTTTAAAAGAAATTCCCCTCTACTGGAGTATATCAGCTTCCATATTGGAATGTGAAACAAGGCCTCCCTCCCAATCTCTGTTTATCAAGAAAGGTGGAAATTCCTCTCCAGACTGGGCCTCAAGAACTTAAGGTTCCTTTTCTCTCTTTCTACCTAGTGTGGGGTAGGGCATTGTCTAAAGAAAAAAGGACAGGTTCAAAATTACTAGAATTAAAAGTAAATAGGACGCTGGGTCGTATGCCTTTAATCCCAGCTCTAGGTAGGCAGAAGCAAGTGGATCTCTGCAAGATCCAGGCCACCCTGGTTCACATGTGACTTCCAGGTGATCTGTAACTAGGGAGACCTGTCAAAAAACAATCACCAGAAAAACAAAAACAAAAAAAGTAAGACCTGGCTTGGTGGTAAATGTCTTTAATCCTAGTACTTGGGTGGCAGAGGCAGGCAGATCTCTGTGACTTCCAGGCCAACTTGGTCTACATAGTGAGTTCCAGGACAGCTGAGGCCACAGGAAGACCCTGTGTCAAAAAAAAAAGTAAATAGGAAACAATGGTGTCGATCTTATAGAAATAAAACAGGTCATAAAGAAATACTGTAAATAAATGTATGTGACAGTAAAAAAGATAACTCAGACGAAATGGACAGATTCCTAGAAGGTAATATGCCAACACCAACTCGAGAGGAATTAGTCCAAAGTCTGAAGAGGCCTATAACAAGTAAGGAGATTGAGTTAGTGAAAAAAAATAAAATAAAATAAAATAACCTACCTACAAAGAAAGCCAAGGCCCAGACAGAAAGGCTTCTGAATTCAACCAAACAGTTAAAGAAGACTTTCACAAACTTGTAAAAATTAGGGTAGTGGGAAACTTTCCAACTCATTTTCCGAAGCCAGCGTTGCTCACATAGCCAATCCAGACAAGCATCACACGAAAACTACAGATCAATTTGCATGTGTAGACAAAAGTCTTCCACAGAGACTCATAAACCAAGCCTGGCAGCATGTGAAGTTTATTTGACACCATGACAAAGGGTGATTTATTTGGACTATACATCAGTATCTGAAAATCAGTTATGTAGTACAGTGTATCAACACAATAAAAAGCAAAAACCAGGACTGAGGCGATGGCTCAGTGAGTAAAAAGCACTTATGACACAAGGGTGAGGACCTGAATTTGGACCACAGAACCCACATACTGTTGGAGCAGTAGTCTGTAATCCAAGCTCTTCTACAAAAAGATGGGACATAGAGTCAGGAGAAGCCCCGGAAGGCTGAGGACAGCTAGCGTGAGGTGTGCAGTGGTCAACAAGAAGAATCCTATGTCAAACAAAGTGTTACGGAAGGACTGACACCTGAGGTTGTCCTCTGACCTTCACCCATGGGCCATGGCACACACGCAACCACACCCACAAACACATGCACACATACACAAATATTTAAGAAACAAAAAAACTGAGGCTGCAGATATGGCTCAATGATTAAGAGCACTTGCTTCTCTTCTAGAGGACCCAAATTTGGTTCCTAAGTACCCATGTCAGGAGACTCACAACTACTTATAACTCCAGATTCAGGGAATTCTAACACCCTCTTCTAGCCTCTACAACACACATACCCATACATAAAAATAAATCTTAAAACAACAACAAACAGGGTGAGGTGATACATGTATATAATCCTAGTATTCAGGAAGTAGAGGCAGGAACATGAAAAGTTCAAGGTCATCCATGGCTACATAGCAAGTTTGAGGCTGTCCTGAATACATGAGACTTTGTCACCTGACAGCATGAGGACCTGAGTGATTCCCAGAACTTGCATTTGTAATTTCATCCTGAGGAGGGAGACTGACTGGTTCCTGGGGCTCACAAGCCAGCCATATTGGCCTATGTAGCAGACAATCTTCACTTCAATTACACCTGCACCCCAGACCACTGGGGATCATCTAGGCATGACCCTGTATCTTAAACACATACACACATACACAGGAATACATGATCATCTTAAAAACTGGGAAAAAACACTTAACAACATAGATTAGAAAATTCTCATTTAGATAAATGGCATCTACAGAAACCCTACCACTAACATTATGTTTACTGTCAAAAGACTGGATATTTTCTTCTAAAGATTACAAAAGTAAACATGAAGCCAGGTGTGGTGGTGCATGCCTTTAAACCCAGCACTTGGGAGGCAGAGGCAGGCGGATCTTTGTGAGTTGGAGGCCAGCCTGTTCTACATAGTGAGTTCCAGGTCAGCTGGTGCTACAGAGGGACGCTGTCTCAAAAAAGACCAAAAAAAAAAAAAAAAAAAAAAAAACAAACCAAAAAACCAAAAGTAAATGTGAATGTTTGCTCCCAACAGTTTATTATTTATTTTATGTGTATGAGTGTTTTGCCTGAATGTGAGTGTACCATGTGCATATAATGTCTGCAAACATCAGAAGAAAGCATTGGATCCTCTTGATTTGGAGTTAAGGGTGATTATTAGCCACCATGTGGGTACTGGGAGCTGAACCTGGGTCCTCTGCAAGAGCAGCCAGTGTTCTTAATCCTGAGCATCTCCCCAGCCCTGTTTTCTCTCTCCAGCCCTGCTCTCTCACCCCAGCCTTGCTCTCCCCAGCTCTGTTCTTTCTCCCCAGCCCTGCTTTCAGTAATTCTTCTCAACATTGTGCTATAGGTTCACATATGCAGAAAAGGGATCTATATTGGAAAGGAGAAAAATATTTCTGTCATTAGATGAAAAAGTCTAGTATATAGAAAGCATAAAGATACTGCTGAAAATTATTAGAACTGATAAATAAGTTCATCAGGGTTGTAGGATTCAAAATCAGTCTGCAGAAATTTGTTGTATTTTATATTCTTGAAATTAACACAGTGAAGATAAATTCAGAACATAATTTCATTTACACAACAGCATAAAAAAAGTAAGTTACTTAGGAATAGATTTTTGCAAATGCTTCAAAACTTGCCGGGCATGGTGGCACACGACTTTAATCCCAGCACTTGGGAGGCAGAGGCAGGTGAATCTCTGAGTTTGAGGCCAGCCTGGTCTACATAGTGAGTTCCAGGCCAACTGGGTCTACAGGGAGACCCTGTCTCAAAAAGACTGAAAAAAAAAAAAAAGCTTCAAAACATAAACTCTGAACATGTTGAAAGGAATTAGTCTAAATAAATAGAAAAATAACCCATGTTTATGATTGATGAATCAAATCCAGTCCCTGTCAGAATCCATCAGAATCCCAGCTGACTTCTTTATGAAAACTGACAAGCTGTTTCTATAATTCCTATGAACTACAAAGGACCCAAAATAGCCAAAACAGCCATGACAATAATAATAATAATAATAATAATAATAATAATAATAATAATAATAACACTTGATTCTAAAAGCAACATAATCAAATTAGCATGGTATTCACATACTGGCATAAGGATAGACATAGATCGATGGATTAAGGCTTGAGAGTTTAGAAATAAGTCCATGTATCTTTGGTCAGCTGATGCTGTCAAGACTATTCACTGGGGAAGAACTGTCTTTTCAACAAGTAGTGCTTGGGTGACTGAATAAGATGAAATTGGACCCTTATATCAAATGCAAAAATTTAACTCAAATGGATAAGATGACTAAATGGAAGAGCTAGTGCTATAAAACTCATGAAAGAAAACACAGAGGTTCATTAATATGTTCATTAAGTGCTAGTTAACATAAGATAAAAAATATATATACTTAGTGGTTTAGGAACTTGAACCTTGAGAATCAATATCAACTTTTTAAGGACCCCAAAGAAAAAGTAGAAAGTAAAAAGTACTCTCTAAAGCATTTTGAGAATAGACTGAATTTTTTTTTCTAAAAGAGACAAATTATTCCTTAAAAATTCTGAATTTTAGTTATTCACATGCTTACCTCCTTATGAGTTTATAAACTCATTGTAAGTAGAGTGTTTTTTCATGTTCCACATAAAATTAATCATATCATAATTCCCAAATACATGTGTGTTTGCTTAACAGAAGATATATTATGAATTAGCCTTTTTATCTGCAAAAACAATGTATAACTTTGAATTCACTAAATTGTAGTTGGGAATTTTTCTCCCTTCTAGAGCACAGACACCACAGGAATACAGCTAGACTGAGGTTAGCCATCTCTCTTTTATCCAGGACCTAGCACATAATAGATGGCCAATAAATGTTTGTTGAATAACTGAGTGAGATAACAATTAGTGTCAGTAGTGAATTTTGAGTTCTAGTTGTCCTCATCCCAAGGGAGGGAAATAACAGTTGGAAATGTTTTCCAGTAGTCTTCTGTTTAGTGTGAGTCCTTAACATATCTTCTTCCATGTTAGATTTTTTTGATATATGCGTGTTTTGCCTGCATGTACATATGTGCACCCTGTGTGCCTACTATACTCAGAGACCAGAAGAGGGCACCAGATTCCCTGGAATGGAAGTTGCAGACTTTTGTGAGCCATCATGTAGGTGCTGGGAACCAAATCTAAGTCCTCTGCAAGAGCAACAAGTACTGTTAACCACTCAGCTGTCTCTCCAGCCCCTTTGTACATGTTTAGAACTTTAGAAAGTTTTGCAAAGAATAGTTCAGCCAAACCTTTTAAAGTCCTTTTGCTTTGTTGTTCTTATCTCCTCAGTGCTGAATTGTCCCAAGGTCGTTTCTGGGATGGCTTAGGCTCTCCTCCAGACTCCCCAGCTCCTGGGAGTGATGTGTACTGCAGCAGTGACCTGAATGACCCTCAGTATGACCAGAGTCTCCTGGAGAACTTATTCTACACAGAACCTGTAAGTCACTGCATCTGAAGCTCTGCTAAGTGCAGAACACAGTGTTTTGTAGCTCTAACAATAATACCACTTACCAGAATGCTACCGGTTTTACATACCTTATTTAATCATACCAATAACCTGGGGAAGAAAGTCTTAGCATCATTTTACAGATCATAGCCTAGTGAGACTATTTTGTCCCAAGGACACATAACAAGTATTAGAGCCAGAATTCAAATTCATACTTACCTGAGTCAAAAGCCTGTGTTCTTAATATATTATATGGCTTCCTTAGAGTTCTTCTGAGAAACAGCTAACATGGGTATGCCTCAGAACCCCTCAATACCTATTCAGAATATTCTAGAAGCAGTTCTACTTACAGGTGACAAATACCTATATTGGCTCTTAAGACAGGACATTCTTTTTAACAGTTCTCCTATATTTCAGGATTATTTCTTATGTCAAGCTATATGTTCTATCATTATTTTAGCATCTTCTAGAAGCTATACATAATAAGCCTAACCCCATTCACAAATAATCATGGAAATATTATTGATCTATTTTTTGTTACTATAACAAAATACTTGATGCAGGCTAACTTTATAAAGAAGACAGATTTATTTAGCTCCTAGTTTTGGAGGCTGAAAGTCCAAACAACCTGATACATGCTCTGGTGAGGGCCCCATTGGCTGCATCATCTTGTGGCATATGTCAGTGGCACAAGCACATGTAAGAGGGAGAGATCACATCACTAAAAAAAGCCAGAGAGACTAGGATCCTCTAATGCCTTCTGAGGGCTTTTCCTAGTTGAATTAAAGACCTTCTCCCATGAGGCCTCACCCCTTGAAGGTCCCATGGAAGACTGAGCTTTCAGTTTGCAACACTTTTAGGGAAATGTTCTAACCATATCCATAGCATTCCTGATCTTTTTTTTTCCAAAAGTACCTGAAATACAAGGTAGTTTATATCAGCTTAGTAGTGAGTGAAGACTCCTAGAATTCAGAAGAAACTGAAATGTTTTTATATAAGATGGGGAAAAAAGAACCTCATCAGACATAATGAGTTTTAACTAAAGATGGGGTTTTGAGAAACAGAGAGATGAGTATAGACAGAATGGTCTGTGTAATTAAAAGCATGTTGGGGATATACTTTTTTTCTCCATGTGGTGCCAGGGATTGAACCCAGGGCTTTTTGTATGCTAGGCAAGATCTTTACCATTTAACTACATCCCCAGTACAAAAAAGTATGTTTATACACTACAAAGAGTCTAATGTAACTGAATAAGAATTTGGGGGAAGGGAACAGGGAATGTAGCTTAGGGGTGGAGCACTGATCTAAACATGAGCAAGGACTTGAATTTGAGCCCCAGCACTGGAGGGGGAAACAAATGTGTAGAAAAGGACTTGATAGGCAGAAGCAGCCTATCAAAACGGGCTTCAACCAGCTGGGGAGCAGAATAAGAGGGAGGGTAAGCAGACACAGACAGGAAACCACCAAGTTATTGGGGGTATGAGACACACGTATGGAGCATTAGAATTTGGAAGAATTAGATTGGAAAAATGTCAGGAGTTGGGATTTCCTGACTTCCTACCTAATAGTCACCACTACTAACTGGTATGTATGGAACACAGAAGAAACTTTTGATTTACTACACATTTATTACTATTACCATTTTCTATGTGCCAGAGCCTTTACATGTTATCTGCCATTTTTAAGAACTGTGTCAGATGTTTTTAATTCATTACTTAATTCTTTTACTAGATCCATGAGATAACATTTTCCCTCCTTTACATATCATCAAACAAAAACAGAGAAGTTAAATATAGGGTACCTATAATCCCCAACTCAGCTATAATCCTAATACTTGGGAGTCTAGGGCATGAGGTTCAAGGGTTGTAGGCCAGCCTGGGTTATATAGCAAGTTCAAGGCTGCAAAGTCAGACTCTGCCTCAAAAATAAAATACATCGTAAGAACTAGAATTCTTATCCTAGTCTTTCTGGCATAACGTGTGTTTTTTTCTGCTCTACCTTGCAGTCTCATAAGCCATACGAATGGCTTTAGAACTTGACCCTGACTAACCTCCCTAACCTCAACTCCCACTTTTACCTTAACTCACCAGTTTCTCCATGCTAGAGTCTCATCCCACTCCTCAAACATTCCACCTCTTCTTGCCTCTCCCTATTTTGTTGTTCCTTCTAAGTGAGTGTTGTTAATTATATCTATCTGGTAAGCTTCATTCTTCAAAAATCATCTCTGAAGAAACCAGCCTGGCTCTCCCAAGCAGAATTTGCCTGAATGTTCATAATATCTTAGATATAACATTTGTTGTACATCTGATAGTAGTTTCTCATAAGAATATGTCTTACCATCTCATCCAAGTGCAGCAAGGTTAGTGAATAAATGCTTTTTTTTAATGCATGTAAAGAATCCCCAAGGCTATTTGTTTGAGCAAAATAACCTTAGAAAATGGTTGTTGATGGAAAAGTGAATCAGTTGATTATGAGGCATTCAGAAGACCAAGGACTTAACACAATCCATGTTCTCCTCCAAAAACTATGGTGATGTTCCTAATATTGAATAGTATTCACAAATTTAACATTCAGCATTGTTTGTTACCCTATGGTCTTGGTTCCTGAAATTGCTAGCTTTTAAACAACCTAGTTAATATTTTCCCAAATTTCTAGCAGTCTTTTAATCTATCTAGATTTTGATTGTCATATTTATAACCATTTTTCAAATTGCTATTAAAGAAAAACCTAAGAGCAAAAAGCTTTCATCTTGAAAAAGTTGTTTATTTCCTAAGACATTCTTACCAAGTTTATTTTAATTAATTTAAATTAATTTAAATCCTTAACATAGATCAGCAAATTATATACCCTACAGTGCTGAAAATGGATGCTGAAGATGACAGGCTGGAGAGGCTTCTTGGTTTTCTGAACTGCTGCTAGCATACTTTGTACCCTTTTTAATTTGAAACCAAGTAACCATAATGCTCCCTCCTCTGTTTATTTTGCATTGTAATAAAAGGAACCATCAATTAATTAGGTGCCTCTTCTCAAAATAAAAATGAAATTATACTCGGTGTGGTGGTGCACACCTTTAATTCCAGCTCTCAGGAATCAATGGTAGGGGAATCGCTGTAAGCTCAAGGCCAGCCTGGTCTACAATAGAGAATTCTTAACCAGCTGGAGCTACAGGAATACCCGATCTCAGTAAAAGAAAAAAAAAAAAATTTAAGTATAGGGGACTTAGAACTTATTTGTTTCATTTGTGAAACACAATAATTGGCTTTTCTAATCAAGATTTTAAACAGAATCAATAATTTGCAGCATAGACAGTGAAAAAAAAGCAATCTTGGCTCCCAGTTAGGTAGCATTGTACTAATCATTTGCCTGCAAACTTGGTAGAAAGACTGACTTTAAAACCCATGGAAATCGGGGGCTGGAGAAATGGCTCAGCAGCTAAGAACACTGGTTGTTCTTGCAGAAGATCCGGGTTCGAATCCCAGAACCCACATGGCAGCTAACAACTGTCCATAACTACAGTCCCAAGGGATCCGACAGCCTCTTCTGACCTTCGTCGGCATTGCATGACACAAGTGCACTTACCTACATGCAGGCAATACATGCATACACGTATATAAAATAAAAATAATAAATAAAATCAAAATAAAGAAAAAAAACATGGAAATCAAGATATGGATTTGCTTTACAGCTAGGGTTCGTAAACAAACTGCCTGGCTTGTCCCACTTGTAAAAATTAAGATAAGGGCACCTTGTAAGAATGTGGTAAGTATTTGGAACTCAGCATGCAGTGCTCAGCCAGACACAGAGTAGGCAGGAAGCAGTAGCCTTGATGAGAATTTTAAGTCTTCTTTTATTTACTTACTTTAAACTGATGTTATTATACTTATTTTTGTTAACTTAGCTTGTCTTTTTATAACCTGGAAAAAATATGGAATTCTGTCCTGTTGCCGGTTCTCTCATGGGTCCAACCCACAAGGGACTGCAGGGAACAAGGGTTCTGACCAAGGTGGGGGTGAGCGGCGTGGAGTCAACACACAGACACCGGGAGTCGGGTGGAAGCAGACTGTAGGCGAGGTGCTGCAGACTCGTTTATTGCTGGGAAGGGCAGGCCTTATATATCGCTCCCCCTGCCCCCAGTGTCCCATAGATCACCTCATCCAGGGCACTCGCGTCATCAGTCTCTAGGTCCGGGGGCAGATTATAGGTTGGCTTTTTTGCAGAAGCATGGGCTGTGCTCTCAAGGTGGAAGCTGTGCTCTCTAGTGTGGCCTGTGCTTAGGTCTGGCACTTCACCTCCTACATATCCATTCCTCTTTATTATAGAAAGGTCAGTGGGAGCTAAGGTTCTTTGCCTCAATATAGTTGACCCCACCTCAGAGGGCACCCAGCTTGATGGACTGTGCCTGTCTTAGGTCATACTGACCATCAGGATCTTACCTGTCATTGACTACCAGCCCTCGAAGGGTGTGGCCTCTGGCATGACCATGTGAGGGAGGAGGAGGGCAAGAAATTATACAACCGTTTCTCAGATATCAGCAAGCCAGACCTGCCAGACCTGGGGGCGGGGGGTCGAAGTCTGGATCCTCAAGCATCTTGAGAACCTGATACACCAAGTAATTTACTTGGTTTTGTATGCAGAAGCATAGAACAAAGCATTTTATGAACAAAAAAAGAACTAAGACTATGATACCCAAGAATAAATAAGTAATGATCCATGAAGGGTCAAACAAAGCTTTTAAGTTCGACCAAATTTTGTCGAGGAACCCAGAGTTTATATCTAATATCTGAGCCTATGTATAATTTAGGGAGATGATCTGGTCAGTGAGCAAGGTGGAGTAGTTGAGAAACTTTTGGCTCCAGTGGCCATGGATGTACTGTGAGAGTTCCATCCTGGCCCTAGTGAGGTTATCTACTTTGTAAGGTGTGAGACAGAGGGCTTTGAACTGTGGGTCACAGGCCATTAGCGTCATTTGTTTGACAATAGCCACCTCCTCC